ATGTTCCATTCTGGCTTGAGTGACAGTAGTTTTTATATGTCTAGTTTGTTGCCTGTCTAGAAATTATGAGTTTAGACACCAAAATCATATCTGTAGCTTATTTAGTTTCAATTTTATGCACATTTTAGATAAATTTGGCAGCCATTTTTTAAAATGCCCACCATTTGTATACAAAGAGTAAAATCAAGTGTCAACAGGGCTTAGGGTGACCAGAAGGGATTAATTATGATATCTGGCTATGTGGATTGCTTCTAACATTCCACTCCCTCTAACTCATTTTTTTCAGATTTTTTTTCTAGTCTATTCTTGCTGTCCATCGTATCCGATGATGACTAGGGGGGTAGTTCTGGGTGTTTCAGCCGAACTTGCAGGCGTAATCCCTTTCTATTGCAGAAGGATTGTGTGCAGTGTACTCAAGGATGATCTAGGTTGGCTGTGTTGCTTTTCACAAGACTGAAATTTTGTATCCTCCTGTTTTTTTTTGTACATTATCCTATATAAGTAATATATGATTTAACATTTTGTAAATTTATGTTTCCACCTGGGAAATTAAATAGATTACACAAAACTGCATACGAAGCTCTCCGACCTGCACGTGCGCCAACCTCAAATTTTTGCTATAATTTCTATCACAAATTATGTATTGAAATATTATTACCGTTACTTAATATAATATTATTATTACTTAATGTAAGTGCAGTTTGAGGATCATAATTATTATTAATTGCTATCATTTCAATATACAGTAGCAGTGCAGTTAAAATTCCATGTAAAATTTAGCATGCCTCCCATGTAAAATTTGTCCTCATGGGTATTAGGTGGTGTTTCAAAGGCACATAGTAGGACTGCTGAGGACAACTTGTCAGGTGTTAAAAAATGAACAATTACTCAACAAAAGCTCTGTAGTTTTGGATGAGTGATTGTATATTGTGTATTTTCAATGTCATTTCTTTGAAGAATTTTTTTAAATGCTCACTTTTTCAACACCAAATAAAGATTTGTTTGGAAATGTGTGCTTTTCAAAAGGAGGAATGTGTAGTTCTTTAGCATTTATTGAATGTTATGGCTGAAAACAGATCCATTTGAGAGTAGCATAGCTCAGTTGGTTAAACTAATGGTAGCCACTGTTTGTGCGTTGAACTGAGGAGATCCTTGCAGTTGGTCCTGTGTGCATTTATGGCCCATGTCCATGCTATAGAACTCAGTACACAGTATACTCTTTGAAAAAGACTAGAGGATTGTCTCCCGGTGTACTGCCCAATCCCAACCAGAAGGACCCCACTGGAAATAAGTCTTCGGTCTTAGTACGTTATTCTTTCTTAGGCCTAAAACAGAAAAAAGTTTTGTTGGCGTAACCCGACAAAAGAAATCGGCCGACCCTAGACATTTTTATTTAAATTTCATGATACAAATTTATGTGAGCAAAGAGGGTGTGGTTAGGCATCACGCAAATGTTTCAAAAGTGGTCCAAGGACAAAAAATATGACAGGGGCCCTTTAAAGGCTTATTTAATTGATTTTATAGATTTCAAGATCTTTGCTGAATATTGTGGCAGTAAAAATAAAAGGGGAAAATTTTTTTTTAGGCCTTATTGTGATTCATACCAAAAATACTAACCTATCCGATCCTTTGTGAAACCAATAGTGTAATTATAGTTTCCTTGATTTTGAGCAGACCAATAAGTACAGTATATGCCCATTGACTAGACTATTGGAAAGATCTACAACTACCGGTAGAGTATTAATGCGTCATGAACATAATATATGGACCATTTATAGGCAGTCTGGCCTTGGTTTTAGGCATTGTTTCCACTCCCAGATTTAAAAATACATTAGATTTATTTGTGGTTTTTCCTTTCAGCAACTTATGGAGAAAGTATAATAAGAGGTTCCCGTAGGAATCAAGCAGTCCAAGGTTTGATTGTTGTTCAATTAGTTTGTCACTAGTCATGCATTCATTTTTTGTTTCCGTTATGTTACTTTAACCACTATAAGATGTGTATAAGAGACAGGTAATAAGGTTGTTATTAAGTAAATTGTAACCTTCACTGGATCGTTTAAAATAAAAACATCATTCCAATTTTCTCTGTTTTTTGCAGAAAGAAGTTTATTAAGTGTTGTGTTGTTTATAAATTTCGTTCTTATTTCCGTAATATTTTTATTATTTATTTTATTATCGTATTGTATGAACGCAAAATGGGAAAGTCATCAGTGATGTCCAGAATATAATGACACTTTTAATTGAGTTCAAAATACCATTTAAATGTTAGTCTGGTTATTATTGGAATTGACAGTTCGAGTAATGTCGATTATGTCGTTATTAATGACTAGTTTAAGTTCATTTTTTGCCTTTTTGTTTAATTCTTCTTTATATATAATTTATTTATTATCTTATTTACATTATTTGTAACTACATTGAGTAATAATGCATATTATTAAACAAATTAATAGAATATGGACATTGTACATTGCAGTACTTGTCAAAACCACTAAATTTTGCAATTAGATGATTGTTACTGTTTTTAATGACAATAAGAGATTATCTGTGGTTTTGTCTGCAGATATTGCAGTACTTTTTATCTTTCAGTTTCCATTGCTCTGCTGAAGACAATTTTTAATATTTGATGTTCTTTTAAACCATTACTTTTCACTATGTATATTAATTGTATAAATCCACTTATTGTGATTCATACCAAAAATATCCCTAACCTATCGCAAATATAAAAATAACTGGAAATTTTAAGTACATTTACAGTATATCATCTAAGATTGCGTTTTATACTTTAGCATATTGTCTCTGCAATTATCCACATCATCCATTCACCTTGTTAAATTAAGTTTGCTGATGTTTGTATGCATAATTATTAGAAAATTATGATTTTATTATTTTGTTATTATTGTTATTATTTTATTATCATGGCTGGCAGAACGTTTTTCAAAGTGGGGGCCGACTAGTAAGGTGAATGGGAATATGAATTGCGATTGAGCCGATCATACAAAAATCTGCACAGACATATATTCTCTGCCAAAAAGTGGGGCCACGACTGGACCCCTCCCCCCGTTTTTTATTATTATTATTATTATTATTATTTAATTATTGCTATTTTACTGTTGCTGTCACTGCCTTTGCCACTGTTAACACTATTATTGTTATAGTTTAATATTGAAAATATTGATATTATACTTGTTATATAATTTATTTATTATATTTACATTATTTGTACATATTTATAAACTACATTGAATTATAATGCATTGCACATTGCATATTATTAAACAAATTAATAGAATATGGACATTGTACATTACAAAACTTGTCAAAACCACTTCATATTGCAATTAGATGATTGTTACTTCCTTTAATGAAAATGGAGAGATTATCTGTGGGTAGATATTGCAGTACTTATCTGTTTCAGTTTCCATTGCTCTATTATAGACAATTTTAGTATTAAATAATGTTTTAAATCATCACTTTCCACGATCTATGTTAACTGCACAAACCCACTGTAGTAGTGCTCAAGGCTCTACAGATGGAATATACCAAAATTACCGTAAATTAAAAAGCTACCAGAAAAGAAACACCACACACATCACTGCACCATTTACTGGCAATTTGAGGCACAGACAAATTAAGTTATATTTCAATTTTTCTTTATTTTTCATATAAAAATGAACTTGCATGTACACAATTACTTATTTGCATAAACAGCAATAACTGAGTGCTTAGACTTTGTAATGGATTGAATAACACTAAGCTACTTAAGTTTGTGAAAGGTTTGAGTGGGAAACTGTAGTTTGGAACAAAATAGAAATGAAAAGAAAGGGAGAGGGAAAGAGAGAGATGATAGAGCATGTGATACCGCTCACCACTTTATGTATGAATTGAAAAATAATTCCCATAATAATTTCTCATGTTCACATCATTTACACCTAATTTGCATGTGTATTTATAATATTTGCTAGTATATTTGTATGTTAATTTGCATATTAATTTGCATAATATTTTGTTTATGCTTGGTTACTATTAGGACATAACATTATCTGTTTATTCTTTATAAAATGCATTGAATAAAAAAAGACTTACAATATTAATCAAATTTCAAATATTACAAAAACAATGCAAGTCTTTTTTTTTATTGAAAATTTGATTAATGTTGTATGTAAACAGTAGTGCTAGTTTTATATGTAAATTTTAGTTTCATTTTGTTCTGGCATCACATCTTTCTGTTCACTGTAGATATTTTTACATTATGTTCATGTTGTATATTAACAGTAGTACCATTTATATATTTTAGTTATTTGTGGTTTCATTTTATTTTGGCATCACATCGGTTTCTGTTCACTGTAGATATTTCCACATTTCAGACCATTATTAAATCAAATGTGCATATTATTACCCTTACAATACAAAGGTTTTTGGACTATATTAAAGGATTTAAAGCTAGACTGACTACATTGCTGTAGCCCTTAGACATGACATTTTATGATTGCAGGCGTATAAATCGTACCTTGTTACGCAAAAAGATAGTGGATTTGGGACGATATGATTTGGGATATGGATTTAGCCTTCTGGTTACCATTTTACAGGTACCTACCAAAATATCTGGGGTTACTGATGGTTGAATGAACCTCAGAAACAGACCTATCCATAAAGATTTCTGTTTTAACTTGCTGGCCAATCAACCCTGATTTTCAGGGGTTAGGGGCCCAACCGGACCGGGCCCCCCAAATTTTTCAAAATTATTTTTAAAAATGGAGAAGAAAAGGAAAATATTAATCAAATTTAGTCCTGAGAGTGCCATTTCCAGCCATCTAGAGGTGAGATAATAGTAAATTTTCTTACCTCTAGTGGTCTAGACTGAAAAATTCCCTCCCTAGGCACCCTTATTTTTTTAGAATTCTTGGATCCATTACTGATATTTTTGGCACATTTCTTCATTATAAAAATATATTATATTTTATTTATGTCACAGGTGTATATGATAATGTTGGTGGATCTTCAAGCAAAAAGCCTAGTGCTTCAGAAGGTAAGTTGTCTGCAAAAATAATATCAAATATATATATATATATATATATATATATATTAAAATGTCTTCTATTAGAGTTAGGGCTTTAATATAAATACTTTCGCCTTATAGTTTGATTGGATGGGATTTCTTTAGTGAGCACTCCCCAAATGCTAAGTTGCTTTCCCTGAGTATATTATATTTTCGTTTGCTAAGCAGATCAAGTAATTTTAATTGTATATTTAATTGGTTTGAGTAGATTAAATTAATTATATTATTATTATTATTACAGTAAAACCTTGATTTTACGTATGGTACGGGACCGGAGAGTGTACGTAAATCGGGGAATTCGTAAAATTGAGGTTGGGTTAAATTTGTCGTAACCTTTGACCTTATACGTACGTAACACTCAATAAACGTATGTTATGAACGAACGCTGTTACCTAGTCTAGACCTAAGCCTCTAGGCCTATGAATAAAACCATGTGTTTAGTGTTTTTATTCATTACTTTACGATGTCATAATAAAGTGTTCAAATAAACCATGTGTCTAGTGCATTAATTCATCACTTTATATTTTTTATTTAACTAAAGAATATGAAAATATTGTAAGATTACCTATATGACAAAAGAATTTCCCTTCATTGCTATTCTAAACAACAGAGCTGTGGTGTTGTTGTCTGGGCCTGCTGAGACAAACTAAAACCATGTGCACTGCACTGGGTGAGCCAACAAATTAGCGTTTGTGTACATGAAACAGCAACCATGTGCACTGCACTGGGAGAGCCAACCAATTAGCGTTTGTGTACAAAACTATGCCTACTCAGCTTTGTGTAGAAAATTCGACCAGACGAGTTTTCCACACGAAGCTAAGGAGGAAAGCAATTATTTTCAGCACCATCGGTAGTTGTTCATCTTGCTCAGTTCACATGGTTTAGATTTTAACAACCTGGTATTTGACTCAATCAACGTGGCTGTTTAATGAAAATACGTTGCATTATGGTTTGTTTATTGTTATAGTTTATTGTTATAGTCTTTTTACTTACGGTTGCTCTGAAAAAGGCTGTTTGTTTTGAATATTTTCGGGCTTTTTGATGACGTCATCGTCAATAACAGGCATACGTAAAACTGAGGGTTTGTATAACTGGAGTACGTAAAAACGAGGTTCTACCTTATTATGATTATTATTATTATTATGTTTTTGGTAGAGGCAATATACGACAATAGGACATTTAACGGACCAGAAGCTATATATGATAACAATATACCAAAAGCAGCGAAGGCCAAAATACCAGAAGGTATATATGCAGAGCTCGGGGCTCATGAGCCACACAAGTACTCTGAATTAAGTGGTAAGCTATTTTCATTTATTTCTAATTTTCTTTTCCTTGAAAGTGACGTAAAGGTTGGGATAAAGGGAGGAGAATAACCCCTAACCTCTAATTGCATATGGGCGTGGTCTGTAACTACTGTAGCAGCCGTAGAGAGGTGTTTAGTTTCATGTTCACATCATTCCACAGCGACAGAGACTGAAATGAGGCATAGCATCAGGGTAACCCCAATTCTTCCAAAAGATGCAATGGGCTCAAAAAGTGCACACAAGCCAGATGGACCTCTCTTTTAAGTTATATTGAAGAAGACTTCTCTCTACCAACCTAACCCTGGATGACGAGTGACTTGAACCAGCACCCATTGTTAAGGCTGTAGTTAGCAACGCGCCCTGACTCACTGCTCTGCTGCTGTACTCGCCACAATGTGCTATGTGAGAGGAAATAAAATAATTATAATATGTTTGATGGTGTTGGCTAGCTAAAAATAACATAAATATTCCCTAGCACCAAAGATGACATACACATAATTCCTTCCAGTCTTACTGTAACTGTCATTAACACTTTTATCTGCCCCAAATTAGGAACAAACTTTCAGGGTTTGGTTTAGATTATGATTCAGTGTCATTGTCATGAAGAAACAGTTGCCATTTAAATTTTCTAAGTTTTCATTTAATAACATTTATAAAGTAAATGAGGTGCAGTATTGGTGGTGCTGTGCATAATATTGCAGGAATTTATTTGGGTTGTAATTTCTTTAATGAAGCAAAAGAAGAACAATGTTAATAATAATAAAATAATAATTAAATGATTTAAAAACGATTCATCATTTCTTTTTATATTTCAGCAAATGTTGCTCCTCCATTACCACCAGAGAACAGAAGGAAGAAGAAAGATGAAGGTAAGGTGATATGATCATCACTCTTCAGGAAAAAAATCTGCAAGTGATTTTGTTGGGAATATACCACATATACCCTACATGGTTTTTGCACTAGACGGTTAAACTTTGGTTGATGGTTATAGGGTTAAATTTTACTCACAAACGTGGGTATGATGTCTAGTTATCCTTTCCTCCATTGAAAATATGTTTAATGTTTTAAAAGCTAGCACAATTACTGTATAATCATTTGTTGTTCACTAAAATAATGTACCTACTATGTTTTTTTATTGAATGCTCTGGTACTGGTAATGGTATGGGCATTTATAATGCACCTCTTCTTTGTTGGTCCACATATGCTAAGTGTTGCTGCTGGTAATCAGCGTAGGAGCAGGCAACCCCCACCAGGCACTCATTTATACTCCTGGGTGGAGAGAAGCAATGCAGATAAAGTGTCTTGCTCAAGGACACAAACGAATTGCACAGCGAGGGATTGAAACCCTGACCTCAAGGTTGGGAAACCAAACCGTTGCTGCTGCACCAAACCGCTTCCTCTATAATTGTCTTGAATCCTCTCCTCTTTGACAAGTAATCCCATTTGATCATTCTTTTTTCTTTCAAAAATGGTACAACTGTGTATTATTATCATTACTTTTTACAATTCTTTGATGAGAATACAATTCAAAGGTATTAATTTTTCAACTTTTCCTTCAACAGAGAACAAACAAATCAAATACAGACGCGCTGATACAAATGTTGTTGCTGTTAAATTTGAATCATTAGTAAAGTCGAGCAATTCTTCTTCATCAACTGAACCAATCTTCTGTGATAATTGCTCTGCAGCATTTTCATATATCAGCAAAGTAATAGATGGACAAGTATGTGACATTTATTCCATGTTTTGTTGTTCTGGTTTTCTGGAAAAATGTGGCACAAGTGTATAGCTTAGTGCTTCTACTTGTAAAGTTGTGGGTTCGAGTCCCAGATAAGTCACTTGCTTGTGATCTGGGAAAGGCACTTCAAATACCAATGCATTAACTACTAGCTACAACATTATGGGATATTCTTCCAGTAATATGTCTTTCATAGACCTGTGTTAGATCTAATCGCCAGTTTAATAAATGTAAAGCATATAGAAGGCTAACTTTAATTATGAAATACTCTCCTATATTTAGTATGTGTTCCATACAGTAGGTGTTAGGTCTAATGGCCAGGGTAAAAGCTTTACCAAAATACATTACATACTGTATTATTGTTATTACATATAACTTGGACCATGATTGGATTGACCTTTAAGCTTACCTATAACATTAAATAACAGTTTTGTTGAATGCATTTTATTTGAAAATAAATATTTTTAGTATTGTTAATGTTTAACATTAACAATACTAAAAATATTTATTTTCAAATAAAATGCATTCAACAAAACTGTTATTTAATGTTATAGGTAAGCTTAAAGGTCAATCCAATCATGGTCCAAGTTATATGTAATAACAATAATACAGTATGTAATGTATTTTGGTAAAGCTTTTACCCTGGCCATTAGACCTAACACCTACTGTATGGAACACATACTAAATATAGGAGCTGTCTCTTATACACATCTAGATGTGTATAAGAGACAGGCACTGGGAGAGCCAACCAATTAGCGTTTGTGTACAAAACTATGCCTACTCAGCTTTGTGTAGAAAATTCGACCACAATGTTACAGTGTAAATTTGCCAGATTTTATTTAAAAAAACTAGACCCTCAGCAAATGTATTTTCTATGAAATAAGCCTCAATTATTAATATGTGATGAAAAACTGACAAAATGTGTTTGAATGATTTATCTAGGTGAATGGAAATGATCCAGCGATACGATCAAATGATGAAAGCATTGCTCGGATGGAGGCACGTAAACAGTTTGATGACGAACGTTATGTAGCATTCCCGGGTGCTCCCTCCCCGCAACATAAGGTGTACATATCACGATTACAGGTAAAGACCATGCAACATTGTCACTTGATGCACACTATAGATTTGATGCTAGCTATTAATAATTAAAATTATGAGAATAGTCAGTCTATTTAAGTAAAAAATGATTATTTATGCATTTTATATACTAGGCTATGCAATCTGCTATTGATACACAACTGAGTAGGATGGAGAAGCACCAACTGGACAAGCGAGTTGGGGTTGTTGCCTTCAACAACAAGGTAAGTTCCTTTACCTCTCCCTTGGTGTCCAGGCCATGTTGATAGTGATGATGATGGTGGTTGTTATGGTGATGATGATTATGATCGTGGGAATAGTTGTGTGTGATGGTGGTTATAATATGATCATAATGATGGTGGTGATGTTTCTGGTAGTGTTAGTAATGGTGATGATGAAGGTTAAGATGTAGATAACATAATAATGGTAACGTTGGTAGTAGCTGATGATCTTGATGTCAAAATTATTTTTATGACGAATATGAAAGTTATGAATATAGTGATAATGATGACGATGAGGATAACAAGCCCGTAGGCAGGATTTTTAAAGAGGGGTTATAATTTTTTCAAAAGGGCACTTTGAGTCCACATCCACCTATGTCCCACCATAATTGGGTTAAATTTTAAAAATATAACACCAAATGCCAAATTTCAAAAATTTGGAGTTAATTTCAAAATCTGTCATGCAAATGGTACTTTTTAGTAATGATTTAAAAGGGCATTTCTGGAAAAGTGGGTTTTTTTTAACACCCCTGGCTACGGGCTTGGATAATGATGATTAAGAGGACAACTGATGGTGGAGATGATGGTTACAATGAAGTTATTTCGAAGTGAGTTGGCATCAGGAAAATATCATAGGATTGACGTTTTGCCCTACCTGACATGTTGTACCGAATATTCAGTACGTCCCCAAAATAATAATTGCGAAAAATATTCACAAGTGATCCAAGTGGGAATCGAACCCACAACCTCCAGATAACTAGCCTGACGCAAAAACCCCTAGAAATAGCATTTGCAGTACCCACTGCTACTTGGTGGTTGGATACAACACTAGTTAGTCACTAAGCACAAACTCGGTAGTCTAGTGGTTATGGTGCCAGGCTAATTATCTGGAGGTCGTGGGTTATATTCCCACTAGCAAATTTTTTCGCAAGTATTTGGGGATATACTGAGTATTCGGTACGTTAACACCTCATGTAGGGCAAAACATCACTCCTATATAATGAAGTTTGTACTTGTGGACATGATAGAAATGAAGATTGTAATGCTATAGTTATTGGAGATGGGGTACTAATGCTTCAGGCCTCCAGTGTGAAAAATATTTTGATTGTAACAATCTACCTCTATGCTATCACCAGGTGATAGTAGTCGGTGATGGTAGCAAGGAACCAGTGATATTAAATGAGGAGCAACTTCTTGAGAAGGATATTGTAGTAGAAATTGGTCGTACTATTCCGTTACCAGCTCCCATTTCTCAAGTCAGACGATGCCTTGAGGACAAAGTTTTCAGGTATATTAATCTTTTATTCTTTATAGTTCTTTAAATAATTTATTTTTAGTAAGAGATATTTACAACTAAATATGAAAGTGCTTGAATTTACAACATTTATATGGGACCTCCAGAGTATCAATCAAACTGCTCTATCATAAAACCTCGAATAGAAGCCCTGTGTTTCTTTTTTTTTTCTACGACCCTTGGATGACTTTTTTTCAAGATGGGCTTCTTTTCAAGATTACTTTTGCAAACTAAAGAGGGGTCTTCTTTTCAAAATGAAAGCTGTAAATTTTGTAATTTCCAGTATACATTTTCCAACTATGGAATTTGAAATTTTGTTTAATATTTTTTTAAATTGTAACCATGCTAGTACAATAAAATAATATTGATACTGACAAGCTGTCATACTAATCAAAGATAACATCAGTCTGAATGTAATTACTATCTCAAGAGAAGCTCATATTATCATGATTAGAAGCCCATGGGCTTAATTTCGAGATGGGCTTTTTTTTTAGATTACTTTTGGGATATAACATACACATATAAACATACACATATAAAAAACATACACCTTCACAGTGAATACATTGATACAAAGTGCCACTTTGATATCCTATTTAGTTTTCTTCAGTTTCTGCTGAGGCGATGTTGAACACTGACAATCGCTACAGGATCGCTAGTGCCGATAGTCGTGTTTGTACATGTTGTATACTTGTCTTAAGTAAATAGCACTATAAAAAAATATAATTTTAAGAAATTCTAGAATGCCTGAGAATATATAGACCGAGGTCAAAGTTAAATGTGTGAGACTTGACAGGTCTGCATTATCATTAGGCTTTTCATTAATCCGTAGCTATATATAAGCTCAGTGTTTAGCAGTTTAGTTACTTGATAATGATGGTTGAACCATCGTAGTTTTTGTATTTATTAAATGCATTGCTGCATTTGTACTATCTTCAGGTATTCATAAACATTGATTTGCTCGTTTAAAAGAATCGAATAGATAACAAGCTTTAAACTCAATTGGTTTTTTTTTTTCATTCTAAATATGCCATAAGCACTGCTGGTTTTGTGATGTCAAAGCCCTTTCTGAAATAATTTTTAGTTGATTTTTTGGCTTAGAAATTAAAAAAAGAATGTTGTTAGTTAGGACATTCTCTATACCGTATAAGGATCTGTGTATATTTGCAAAGTTTCATTGGAATCCATCCTTCGGTTTTAGAGCCTTTAGGATACAGAGTTTTTTTCAGAATCAATCTGTGTAGCATGATTCATGAAAAATTATTACAAAGTATACGTTTGAAATAGGTTACAAGCCACAGAAGTACATTCAACTAAGATGACTTAAACTGCACTGGTCTATAGAATTTACAAATTTACTATTCAGAGAATTATAATTTCACCTTCGCGTGTTTGTTAATATTGTAAATTGTTTCCTTTATGCTCCTGCCAATTATAGAATAAAGATTTCCTTCACCAATATTTTTGGAATTACCAGGCCTAAAATACATAGACATAAATCAGTTGACGTCTTGTTTTCTAAAAACTGACGTCAACAAATTGACGAATCAGGTAACAGATGATTTAGGTATTGTAAAGAGACATACCTTCAGTTGCATTTTTCACAGAAGCAAATCACTGACTAGTAGCATATCACAAAGTATTTTGACGCCATACATTTTTGTACTACAGGTTTCCCTCTAATGAAAGACCCCTCCCAATAAAGACCACCTCCAATTAAAGACCATTTTTCTGTGGTCTCAAATTAACAAATGTCTTTTATTTTTATTATTCTAAACAGAGACCACAGCTGATAAAGACCATGAAAGCCCTGTCCCAAAAGTGGTCTTTAATTGGAGGGAGACCTGTATTTTTTCCTTTTGCGTTCATTGATTTTATTATTACAGTAGAACCCCTCCTTTTGCACCATATATTTTTAACACTATGGCCAACCTCTGTTTGGGGACACCTCCAATGAGGAGACACTTTCTTGGTCCTGGAAGTGTCCCTTATATAAAAGTTTTTTGCTTTAATATATTAACAAGAGGATGAGTAACATGATGTCATCATCCTACAGTATGTAAATTTATGTTCGAAAAAATGTCAGCAATGTTCGGAATACAGTATGCAATAAATATTGAAAAGTTTTGGAATGATATGTTACATTTTCCTTATGACTGTCAGAGTAGTTTTATATCCAGCAATTCAAATGATAACAAATAAATTTTTCAGAACCATTTTAACACATGACCAAAGGGTAGATGTTATTACCCATAATATCTTTTTAAACTATATTTGTGTTTTGTGTAATATATTTGTTGTTACCAATTTGGGAATGTTTGTTGCTGTTACAATAATAAAATAATAAAAGTTTATACTCATTTATCAACTGAAAAATAACTGATGTCACTAACAATAACATGGTTGTAATTTACACTTTTATTGCTGTGTCCTGAATACTTGTTATTTTAAGAAAATAATAACAGTGTATTTTACTCATTTAGTAACAGAAAGTTCACTTATACACATATTCATGGATCTGGTTTTGGGTAATCATTTATGTAAATATTTAAAAACAAACCCCCCCCCCCAAAAAAAAAATGTAATTAAGCACTCACTGGGCATGTTTCTGCTGAGCAAAAAAACACGAGTTTTCCCCCAAGTAGAAACGGGTCACAAAACAAAAATACGGTTAGGAATGCGTTCTAAAAATGCCTGTTTTTACACGCATTCATTATAGGGTTCACTTCGTTGGTTTGATCGCTCGTCCGCGGGAAATTCGGGGCAAAAAAAAAAATTAAACAAATAGGATGACATGCTTGAATATCATACCATACTTTTTTCATACTTTTGTGGTGTGTTGTTTACTTCTTTCGCAGCATGCGCTGTCGCTCGCAAAAGTAAGGTCAGCTTCAACTTCCGTTGGTGACCGTCATTTAAGCTCCGCCCATCTGCCAGTGCTTTATTAGTTGCACTTTTCACTAGAAACACGTTCAGAAAGAAAAACAAGTGTTTTTGGCGTTATTCAGCAGAAACACGCCCTATAATAATGAGACTATTGTGTGGTACTGAAGACATGTTCCAGCCAGATAAAGTTGCCTCACTTGCCATGGGTCATGGTTCTTGGAGAAATTTTGTGGTCGCCTATTCCATATGAATGATGAATAATGGTAGTTATATAGCGTACATGCTAAGGCCTCTCTGTGCTCCACATCATTACCCCAGGCGTTTTGAACTCAGCTGCCCAGGGAGTAATTCTATAATGTTGCATTAGCTAATCAGCAATTTAGCATTCTACCAAGTACGTACCCATTTATACTGTATTCCTAGGTGAAGAACAACAATGTGGATAAACAAGAGAAATGCCAGCCTTAAAGGCTAAGAGCCAAACTGTTGCATTTATACAGTTTTAGGTCACCTAACTACTCAGCACTCCCCACAAGACGAAACTGTTTTATTAGTGTTGTATCTCTATGAGTATTGATATTGGGGATGATGCGAGGGAGGTGGGGTGGGGGATGTTGAACGATGAGAAATTTATTACCACTAGCTGTGGAAATAAAGTGATATAAGATGATATTCTTGAGTGAGCAAATTCCGAGTGTAGGGGGTTGCATGTGGGGGAAACTTTCCCTTCACGCTCTATTAAATATTTACTTTACTATTTAATTTTAATCTAATTGGAAGTTTTATGTGTTCTTATAGTGTTTTTGATGTTTGTTGTGTTTATGGATCCTGTTTTGCTGTATCTTTATACCTTCCTGTTCTATATATTTTTTTGTATATTTATATATCATGTATTTTAAATTTTAATGAAAATGAATGTACTATTGTTATTTCCATTTTATTGAACCAAATAAATGGAAGATTGAATCTTGATGCTGCTGGTCCCAATATTTAACCTTGCTAAGTTCTACCGTTTACCCTGGTAAATCATGCAAAGTACTCCAAAATCAATACAAATGCAATCTAATTATTTATGTATTCCTTTTTATTGATGAATAACAGTAATAATATATAAACAATTTGATTTCATCAATTATGTCATATTGCACTATGAATATATATTTATTATTATATATTTCATGAAATACTGTCCATTTCCTATTAGATTAAAATTAATATTTACAACATTTACAATTTCTCTTTTGATTTACTTAAAATAGAAATAGATAGTAAATAATTTGTACACATTCATTTTATATTTTATTATGTTATTCATACACATATACATTTAATATTTTTGAACATTTTCAATTATCATAAATCTACCATTCAACATTTAGCTTACACATGGTACAATTTAATTTAATCTGAACTTTTCCTTTTGGATTTGCCGTAATTTTACGTAATTTTTTTACCTTAATGTACATGATGAAAATTATAAGAATGACATTAGCAATAATAATTCTATTATTTCATTGCCAAAATTTAATAACCGATACAATAATGATAATAATAACAAAAATACAGTATAATATATATGATTGTGTAAAAATATGCCCAGTTTTTTACTCTTGATAAAGTCTATCAAAATTGTTGATAATGTACCACAAAAATCATTTTTCTCTAAATAAGACACTTTCTGAAGAATTGTTGCTTTTAATTCTGTACAGTTAGGATTTGTACCATCTCTTTGTAAGGCTGATCCCTGTTCTTCCTCCTTGGATTTGCAATAACCTGTTTAACACAATTTTCTTGGTTGTCGTTTTCTTGTCCTTGGCAATACTTTGACTCAGATTGTGGGGAAGTAATTTTTTGTGTCTGATTCATCACAAGTTGTACAACTTCTTTATAAGGTCGTCCTCTGTTCTTTCTTTTTGGAGTGGTGATAGCCTGTTCAACACAATTTATTATATTATTACTGTTTTGCAATTTTTCTGTTGTCAGTGTTATTGTGGGTATTTCCGAGGATGATTTTATCCTAATTTCTTGGTTGCTTTTTTCTTGCCCTTCGTAATTGTTCACATCAAATTGTGAAGATATATTTTCGTATTTCTTGTTAATCTTTAGATTTTCATATAACAAATCTTTCGGAATGTCCTGTGGTTGAATCTCAATTCCTGTTCCGGGTGAATCGGATTTACATTCTGCTTGTAAGTTTTTCAAGTTCTTGCACACTTTCGTGCTAAATACTAGGATATTTTCTTGTACTGCTTTGTAGATTGCTCCAGCATTGCATGATGTTAAAGTTAGTGAACAGGTTTTTGACAGGGTTGCATCATACATTTCTATTGAATAATATTGTTGGTAAACTGAATGATTTCTTATGGTGTCCCACCGCCAACTTATTAACGTCTTAGCTGATGATGGTCTCTTCAGCGACAACTTATTCTTGTCTGTATGAAGCTGATATTGAGCTCCAGTTTGCAGCAAGAATTCGGACTTATGTATTTGTACAGGAAACATGATGAAATTCACTCTAAAAAAATAAGAATATAACAGAAAGTTATATACTGACCTACTGTAATAATTATAAGTCAAATTAGTTAAATAAATATCCACAAAATGATGAGACTTGGAAGATAATATACTTATAATTATTCATTAAAAGGATGACATAAATTATCATAATATTATTATTTTCTCTTCGTTTTGTTTTTATTAATCTATAAAATTCAATCTATCAGTTCTATGTAATATATTATTGGATAACTACCTATGCAATTTTTTATATTAAAGAAATTATTTTCTCTATCTGATTTTTAATTGGAAGTTATTACTTATTTAAATATATCAATAGTCGAGATTAAAATACAATTCAGTTTCTACAGAAAAATAGCAATCATACTACAGTACTACCAAGAACTAAAAACAAATGAAATATTTGACTTACCAAATTTTTATTTTAAAGCAATCAATACAAATCAATAAGAATCAATATTCAATCAGTCAAACATGTAGAGAACCAGTGCTTATTGAATTCCATCCGTTAGGATACTGACTAGTAAAGTGAAATAAACCTATATATATATATCCCCGGGCTTCTACCGGCAGTAAATTTGTTAATTGTATCCAACCAGGATGTCTGCTCAGCAATGACTTCCTAAATTCAGTGAAAAGAATTTCCCTTTATTTTCCCAATTGAAAATTGCGTGGCAGTTTGCATCATCTCTTATTGTTAATGTTATTTTTTACTGTTCTGTAAATAATTATTTAGCCTTGGAATATGATTGTTGTTTAGTCAGCTATATCAAATGATTTTGAAAGCTCTTATTAAGGCCATTTAAAAAAAAAGTTTTTGATAATTTTTAATCAGCAAAGCCGGGCACTCACTGCGATCGACGGTCATTGGCCGCCACGATTCTATAAGGAACGAAACGCGACGTCGCGCGCACATCGGTTTGTTTTTAATGACGATCCGTTCAGACTGCTACCGTTAATCAGCAGACAGCATCACGTCGTCTAGCGTTTACAGGGAGCAGCGTTGGATTCGTCGTGTGGCAATTGTACTGTACCATGCATTTAGTGCACAAGGTTGAATTATGGGCAGAAAGACGATATTTTTATGAGTTGGCGAAAAAAAAAATAAAGAAATGTTCGGGTGATTTTTTTCAAGAAGGGAGGGGATGATCGTTCGTAAGATTATGAATGTAGGACTAAAATTTTAAAACTCCTTGAATACAATTAAGACACAAGTGAAATTATGGAATTGCCTACTGAAGATGAGATTTTTTAAAACTAGAGCGACCGTTTACCGGTCCATGTGTACCTCCATGTTTAAATAGGGTACAGACGCAAGTTATGATATTGGGTTTTTTGGAAGAGCTAATAAGATAGAAATTTTTTAAAAATTAGGATGTTTCTTTGTACAAAAAAAAATTATTATTTAGAATGTTCCATTGTACAAAATTAAAATATCTTAAAATTGAAAAAAATTAAATTTCTTAAAATTGAAAAAAAAAACTTGAATACCAAGATGCGATTCGAACGCACAACCTTACGTTCTTTAGAACACATCTTTGCATCATGTCATATTAATTGTAATGGCAGTAATGTATAGTCCTTTTGAAACCCCTGTTTTGTTTTGTAGGTGTAGGGAGAACCATGGGGTCCAACTTAAAAAAAGGGCGATGAACATTTGTTGGAAATCACCTCTAGTTTATGTGTACAAAATTTCCTGCACGTCTATTCAAAACTGGCGACTCTGGATGCTTTTAAAATTTTGGGAACAAGAACAGCAGTGAGGCTCTGGGGTCAGCGTTTTGCACGGACCCAAAATAGGGACCTCTGGATGGCCGGAAATGGCACTTCTCATTTCTGGCAATCTATTAAATTGGCGTTATTATTTTTTTTCTGTCTGACTGCCCAAGGACCTCTGGCCTGTGGAGGACTTGACCTGTCCAATAACTACCCCCCTCCCCCATGCCGTCACTGAATACAATTAAAACACAGGATAAAAATTATGGAATTACAAATTTATTAATAGGTCCATAGTATAACAAAAGAATCAAGACTGGAAATTTTAAAACTTGAATACAATTTAATAAAATCCAGAATTATAAAAATTTATCTTTTGTCTTTAGACATATTATATTTGATTTTAAATGTGTTTTTATAGTTGTGGATGTGGTTAGACAATAACAATACTGTAATGATAACAATTAGTCAGCCATTACTAATACTTTATAAACATGTTTAAAGTCCATTTGTCTTTAATGTCATCAAAACAAGATTTAATACTTTATATAGTAACTTATATTTATTTAGCTTTAGCATTAGCTAATAGAATTTATATTCTCATGCTCAGACAATGCTCTTTAATTTATTCATGATATATTAGGCTCTCAAGCCTATATACTTCGTATGTGAATAAAAGTGCTGTCTACCCACATCTAAGAACGAACATGGAACATGGTATTACTGATGAATAACAATAGGGTATTCTTTTAAAAAACAATAATGTAAAGGTGTATATACAGTATGAGATCATGGCATATATTTATTTAATATAATTATTTAATTTATTTATTCAAAATATATAACTCAATAAGAACTTCCTACATAAGATTTCCATTTATTTTCCCAATTGAAAATTGTGTGACGATTTTATCATCTAATATTTGTAGTGTTATTTTACTGCTTTATAAAAATTATTTAGCCTTATAATACCATTGTTGTTTAGTCAACTATATCAAATGATTTTGAAAGCTCTGAATAAACATGCACCTATTAATAGATGGAATTAATATATTAATAAGTCCATGGAATAATGAAAGAACCAAGACTGAATTTTATGATTATGAATGTCAGACTAAAATTATTAAACACAATATTTAACCAAGTTGGCCATATCAGTCAAAAAGACTGGTCTTCCTTAGTGCCCTGGGACATATGGCTATCAGAATCTATTTATCTTTCAGTTTCTTTTAGGTTGTATAGTTTTTTTTTTTTTATAAATTATATAATATATAGATTTATACCGTGCATTTTGCCAGGGGATACAAGGCTCTTGCGATGTTCTGTTCTGGTCTTTGGTATTGTAGTGTTTGCAAAGACCTCAGAATATACAAACTGACTTATTATAGACATCATAAATCTCATAGAGATCACTGAACTATAGTATGCAACATGACTCTTTAATCATGTCCTATACCTTGGACAAAATTCTCCTTTCCTTGGCCAATACGTGGCCGGCGCCAAGGAAGTATCTGTTATCCTCTGTTACACATAGTGCTGTGCTGTATATTCCGTTCTATGAGTATTATTATTATACGACATTGGGATCCATAAATTTGCTATTATAACAAATTGCATACAGACTGATACATTTAGTTGTGATATCCTAGGCTAACACGTAACTAATTACACTACCAGTGAGTGGGGATAATCAAGTACATGAGGGGTTAAACCACTGACCTCGAAGTTGAGAACATTTTACTATTTTTATATATTGTGTGAAATTGATGCTTAATATTTTTGTCTAATTTTGTTTTGAGATAGATGAAATTTTCAATTAATATGAAATTTTAAGTATGAAAATTTTAGGTAAAATTATTTTTTTAATTATTTAAACTTCTGTTGATGCCAATCTGTAGAGTTTTTAGTGAATAGTAGTAAGAGTTTATCTAAAATTGTTTAGTAATATGAAAAGTTCTTCGTATTCGTAATTTATTTTATCTTTTCCAGTTTTTATCCTTAATTTAATGTCAATTATGACACAATTTAATTTTGTACTAGAAATGATTATATCTAAAATATTTTGTAATTGACTAGGATTTTTGACTTGCATCTTGTCAAATTACATTACATTACTGATAAAAGGCAGCTCAGTATTAGAGTAAAATATGTAGGTGGTATAAGATTGAATTAGTAATAAAAGCCTGCTAATTGCACATAGAAAAAATTATTAGATTAAGGGCGGGCTATTTTTTATCGGAACAATAGAATATTGCTTTTTTTTATCAATGAGGGAGGGACTATTATTATTTGGCAAGAATATTGTAAATGTTGTATAAAAACTGGTTTAATTCTATTGTTTTTTTTGAAGAAAATGCATTTCCAGTCACAAAATTACATTGTATTTTTCATGCTGGTGAAATAATTGATGGCGAAAAAAAAGAAAAATAAAAATTTATTCCGCATCAATATATTGCAAAATTTTGACGAAATCTAACAATGTCTTCAGTTGTGATTGGCAAACAAGGAAGGAAATCCTTATTGAAACAGAGTATACTGTGTATAGCACAGTCCTATGTAAACATAGAGGTCATTGATTTGTATGAGTTACCGTAAATGGGGTTGTCATCGTCTGGCTGCAAATATGAAATCAGTGCCTCGCCATTCTTCCACCATTTGTACAGTATATCTATTTGGTTTGTAAACAATAATTAGTGAACTATATCAGAACGATGGCGGAAATGTGGTGAACATTTCCTCAGTAGGGGATTAGTAGTGCAATGAAATGCAATTATATGTTAGATACAGAGAATCAGTGTAACTGTTTTTGCTGATTGTTGTACATGATGAGTGTACAGTAGCTTCCGTAGAAAGGTGTTCTGTAGTTACGTCTTTCCATGAAGACAGAGGTTGCTATTAGGCCATAGGGTAAAGCTCAAAAAACAGATTCCGTTCCGATGGCTGTAATATGAAGAATTTAGGCCTACAATATTTTAGTAATATGTTTTCAATCACATATAAAAAGTTCGACCAAAATATCCTCTGCAATTTTGAGAAAATTACCGTTTTATCACGTTCCTAGGCCACCGACCGTCAGAAAACACACCGCGACAGAGCGGGGTAGAAGCATGTCGCAATCATACCATGAACCGCCCACTTGTGTTAACACGGATGAAATCGAATCATTTTTGGTCAAATCGTGTCAAGTAACGTGAGATTGCGTCAGTCCACATCAATTCTCGTCAACGTACAGCATTTTATTGATGAGAAATTTCAACGAAAACACTTATTTTATTATTGTACACTAATTGCAATCCTTTCACGTGTATTTCAAAACAATAATTGTGTAACAATTAAAAAAAATTTATTAGAATTTTGACAGCTTCTGTGGTCTTTCTTTTGTCAATGTGTATGCATACTCATTGTATATGTGTTTGCTATATAAACATAAATGTTAAAACTTATGTAAAATTCATACTTTATTGTAACAGCATTTTAAAAAATTCATTTTTCTTTTTTTTTTTGTATTTATTCTGATTTTTAATTGTAATGTAATCAAAAATTTAATAAAGAAAATCTTAAACTTGATGCATTGTTATAATGGTGCATGAATTTGGATGTATATTCCCGTTGACTTCGGCGGGACAGATTTTATACATTTTTATATTGTTTACTTAAGAAAAAATAAATAATGCTTTCCATACGCCTGTGTCATTGTGTATTTCTTAAAATGGCTCTTATGTTCTTACACTCTACTCTCTTACTCTTTTAATTTTCTATATTTTACTTAATAAAGAATAATAAAGCTTTTCATACTCTCATAATGTCTCATGTTACAAAAGTTATTACATTCTCATGAGTTAAGCTGTTACAATTCTCTTTTTTTTTTTAAATGTTAATAACAATATTATTCCATTAAATTCTTTATTATTTCAATAAAAGCAATTGAATTACTAAGCCTCAATTAGAATTTTTTTATATTTATTTTGCTTTTTGAATCACAAACACTGTTGGCACATTTTATATCGGGATGTAAATTATCCCACAGTTTAGGACCATACAATCAAACGCCTTTAGATGCAAAACCTATATTGTTTTTCTTTCATTATGTGTATGTTAGCAAAGAATAAATATAGTACAGTATATGTATGCACATTCTCAATTTTAATGGCAGTTACTGTGCCTGTACATTGCTCTAAAAAAGATAAATCATTAGGAATAACAGTATATTAATTGAGGCTTTCCATCCCAAAAATATTATTTTGGTTTTCATATATATATTTTATATACATGTTATTTATATTTCAGAAAATTTTGAGTAATTTTTACTGCTACTTTTAAAGTACAGGGACTAGAGAGCTTATAATAGTAGCTGCTAGCGCTAGGCCCATAGTATTATTATAGTAACTTTGGCCTAATACTGTAGTAAGTAAATCGTCATACATAGGATGATAATAGTTTAGGAAGGCCAATAAAGTAAGGCTAATTAGCTAGGGCTAAGCATACCGCCGTAAGAAGATTAGGCCAGGCCTGAGTACACTTACGACTTTGGACATACTGTAATAACTTAACGTAGGCCTAGACGGTAGGCCCGGAGGAATGACTGGACCCGAGTTAAAGTTAAAACTAGCTAGGCCTATATAGCAGTACACGAGGCCTAGCGCTAGCTGCTAGTCTATTTTTACTTTTTGGTTATATTATAGTGTTTCCGAATTAATTAACAAAACATTAAAGAATAATTGTACAATGTGTCTAGATACGGTACCGTATTATCAGCGATTCCTTCATGGTGAAAACAACACTTTCATCATCGTCTCACACACAGTCCGTCGCTAGACGACGTCATGTTGTTGTTGGCTGTACAACAACACGTGAAGTTATTGTAACAAAACCAACTTACATGTACGTCAAAAAATTTTATTCCGTTATTACAATACAAATTATATCTAATTATAATTTTTAAGTTTGTTTTCAAAGCAGTAATACCAAGTTAGCAAAAATAAACTACCTATCAAAAATACAATATTCGAACGAGTACAGTGACGTATACAAAATGTCATGTGCTAATCTAACGCAAAGAACTTTCAATTTCGTAAGTTTTATTTCGTTCTCAATTTATTCATGTTTGCAGAAGTTCTTACGGTCAAACTTTTTTGTAGAGCTTTTAAATATGATTAAAATAATTATCCCGAGGAGATCAAGTATAATGATAATTTCGGAACGGGGTTAAATGATAGGATTTTCACCCAACGGCCTATAGTAAAGCAGAGCCTTGTGGTAACCCCTACTCTTCCTCCCCCTTAAGTTCTCCAATCCAATCCAATCAAGCGATAAATGTGAAGGGTTAGGGTTCATGGGATTTTTCTATAGGTCAAGTTTAATAAACAAAGTTATGATAAAATATTACTATAATAATAACTTGGTTGAAAGGGGATTTACCCAAGATCCCCTGGTTACAGGTTAGGGGAAGGGGATTTTGAACTAGTACTGATTAATTTTAGATCTTCATGATAGATTAATTGCTTAATCTGTTGGTTTTTCCATTGATTGATGTTATATTTACAATAGTGGAAATTCCATACATAATTTAAAATAATCATTTTTTATTGATATTGATAGTATACACATTATTATTATATCATTAAATAAAAATATTCCAAAAAAATTTAGTTGTTTAGAAATATTTAAGATTATGCATGAAATTCAATAGTAGTCATTGTTATTGAAATGTTAGGTTATATCTATGATTTTTTTTAACTTTATATATTTCATGCAAGAACTCTTGCATAATTTCATCATGTAGTAAAATTTAATACAAAAAATACCACCATTATGTTACACATTAATGCAAATTTTAATTTCACAAGAACCATTTTCTGAGTGTTTTTATAGAAAAAATTATTGTAACCTTGTATCAATATTCACAAGATGATTTTAGCATTTGTGGCAATGTCAAGCCAAACCAGTCACTCGTCGCAAAAATCAATTTTAAGTTATATTAATACAAAGGTTAAAGAGTAAAAGAAGAGCTATACAATATAATAATAATTAATAATTGTCGACTTGTATAGCGCATATTGTAGGGAGCTCTATGCACTTACATTATTACCCCCAGATCACTGGATCAAGTACATATGCAATCAAATCCGACATTTCCATATGAAGCTACAAGTGTTTATTAACATACAGCTGTTTAGAGAACAATATATGAGGAATCAGCCTTCAAAGTTTATGATTTCGGGCATTTCTCATGCAAAAACTATCTTCAAATCCTTAAAAATTGTTGTTTTTTGAAAATAGGGAAAATAACAGCATAGCATGATGTATAGATATATAAAGCTTGGTTATTGCGATAAAATGGATTTTTAAAAATTTGACATTCCAGTATGTTTTGGCCGCATTCTCTCTGAAACATGATTTGCGATGAGTGACTGGCTTGTCTTTGCCACATTTAGAGATGGATTTAATGATTTATAACTCAAGGATAACATACTTATTTTTTATACTGTAGTACATTCCATTTCCAGTATCAACATCAACCTGCCAGTTTAAAGAGCAAAAATCTCATTCATGGGTGTGAGTGGAGGTGCAGAGAATGGGGACGTACCCTGCATGACGGCAAATTGGTTCCACTAAGTGGGTTAAAATAAGCAAAATGACCATAAGTTTGAATTGGCAGGGATGTAATTATAGTGGGCGGGGCCACCCAGCCTTGCTGTTTTCCACCCAGTTTAAAGCTAAGTTTCATGGTCCTCCACCCACCATTATTAACCCACTTTTCCATCCTTAAAATCCACTCTTATTATCTAGAGTTTACCAGTGTTATCACGCACCCACCCTCAAAATATCTATCCTAACCCTTGGTTTTCATTAGTTACAACCCTGTTGGCATTGAGATTTGCTTCCGAAGACTACACCCCTGGTAGGAGTAGCCAAAGAATTTTGTATAATTTTAGAAAGAGCACCTCTCATTTCTCCTGAAAGAGTACACAATAGAATTATGGCTATTTGCATGCTGAGAATGTATATTTCTTTATTGTATAAGCACAAGCATTGCATATGTTTTGTACTCTCTTATTAATGAAAAAAAATATATATCAACATTATTATACAGTATAACAATATTTCCCTTTAAGAAGTTGCCATTCCAGCTAGGCTGATATTAAAGTGCCTTTTATTAAAATCCAGAAAATATTTAAAGCATTAATACTATATATAGTATTGATTATGATTGGCATTTTGGTCAAAAGAAAAATACAGAGTCTAACATACAAACGTGATACAATGAAAATATAAGTTATTAATTGCATATATAAAAGATTTCAATACTCTAATAAAAATACTGTTATGTACCTCAGTTATAGGAATGTTTTGAAAAACTATTTAAAGCAGTTTTTTTAAAGATGAAAAAAAAAATGATGAATCATTTTTTTACATTCTTTTGTGATTCATTCGCTATTGTTGGTCCAACAATATACAGTAGTCTGTTTGTTGGAGGGATTTATTTACGTCACTCAACGAATTGAATATATATAGATTATTGACACATAAATATTAAAAAAACAGGAATTTATATCTACACAGGCCCTGTACTTTACAGATTAGCTTTGCCCCAATTCATTTGCTTCTATCCTACTTGTTTGCTTCAACCCTACTCTTCTGTTTCAGTCCTACAACCCTATTCATTTGCTTCATCCTTACACATTTGCTCAAATTGGCTATACATTTATGGAGATATCATTCAATTTCTCAAACGCATATACAAGCTTCCCTCCAAATAAAGACCACTTTTTGGACTGTGATTTCCAACTTTAGCAGGTTTAGTCTCTAATTAGAATAATAAAGATAAAAGACATTTGTTAATTTGGGACCTCAGAAAAGTGGTTTTTAACTGGAGGTAGTCTTTAATTGAAAGGGTTTTTGATTAGGAGACCTGTCAGTGGCGTATCAAGGGAAGGGTGCGGGGGTGGGGTGCACTCCCCCAAAAGTTCTTGCGCACCCTCCCCCCCCCCCAATTTTCAAGAGATCATGTGTTACCCCTTCCCTCCTTGAAGAAAAGCTAATTAAATGATTGTTGTTGTCATATTGTGATCATCATTTTTTTCATGTAAGCATACATACTTCCTTCATGATACAACAAACTTAAATCTGTCCCTAAAGGCTTGAGTGCCCATCACAAATAAGGAAAGGACAGAAAACAAGAACTTAAAATAAAATAAAATTCATGGAAGTAAAAAAGAATGTAAAATTTTTTTTCTATGTTGAATGTGCTGGAGAATGTGGTAATAACATATCAAGGGATTGATATTCATGGTTTCTAGTTTCCATGTTGTCACCATCAAACATTAGTTCTTGATACCCAGCTGGGTTTGGGTTGATCTGTCCGCCTTTAATTTTCGCTGCTTCAGCATCCAAGATTTCTTTCTTCTTAGCTACTAAGTCAGAAAAGTGATTTAGTCGAGAGAGAACATGCATTCCTGCAATCATTTTCATTTCAATGTTACCCTCGCCGGCCATACAGCTCCTGCCACCCTCAAAGCTGAACTTAGTCTCCTTACCGGTGTATTGTCGAAGGTTTTTGTAGGCCCACCAATATAACAGCTTCTCTGTCTTTATATCCTGAAGCGTAAGACCTGTGACATCTACTACTAGTGTGTATTGACCAGAAAGTCCCAGATGCTTTGAGAACTTGTTCTTGACAATCTCACCAACAAATTCCTCCTCTGTAAATAAAAATAAACAAAGTTGTTGAGCATTATGGGCCAAGGAATACAAATAGTGAATACAGGTCTCCCTCCAATTAAAGACCACTTTCGGGACCGGGATTTCCATGGTCTTTAGTAGCGTTGTTCTCAAGTAAAATAATATTTAAACACATTTGTTTAATTGGGACCACATAAAAGTGGCCTTTAAAATGGAGGTGGTCTTTTATTGGAGGGAGACCTATGTATCCAAATATGCATATTTAATGCATATTTATGTTGTACTTTATACTTTGATGAATTAATTAAATGTTACTCGGAAAGTAGTGCAGGGGACCAACAGCTTAACATCAAATCCAAAGGATGTGGTTGTTTGAGTAAAGCGTTTAAAGGCCTGCCCAAATTATCAAGTTTTGTTTGACAAAAAGCATGTGTCATGCCTAAATAAGGTCATCATCACATCACATCATGACCATATATAGGCACATAATGACTATATATGGGCATATAATAGTTTTTGAGAAAAAGAAAATTTTATAGTATAAACAGGCCTTAAAGTCCGGTCTATACTATCAAATTTTATTTGACAGAAACATGTGACTTATCTAAATATGGTGATGATGACATATCAGTACCATATATAGGCACATAATGACTATATATGGCCATAATGATATTATGATATATAGGCATAATGACTATATATGGCCATACAACAGTTTTTTTGTCCAAATCATTTAAATCAAACCATTTAATTTTTGAATAAAAGAATGTTTGTGAACTATACCTGATAAGTCATCAGAGCCGCTGATGTTCTTACCACGCAGGAAAAATTCTAAGGACATCTTTTCAATTTGTCGCTTCATGTTTCTGACTATCTCTTGTCCTTGCTTCATATCACTAACAGCCAATAAGAGGGACCCTGGGCCGCTTACAGATCTACGTCCGACATCCATGAAGAAGCTTCCCTTTTTAGTTCCATATAACCTTATGTGGTTGTAATCCCACATAAAGTTTTTAGATGAGCCTGAAGTCGTCGTAAGACTAACATTTTTTTTGTTCAGTTTAAAAGTGCAAAGTCCAGTAATTTCTAAATTTTCTGTGAAAGGGTTGTTTAATATATTAAGTTGATAGGAATATGTTGTTTCTTGAGCTTTTGCACCATTTCCAGTTGTATCCCTGTTCCCATTTTTGTCTATGCTTCCATTTCTGCTTGCCTGTTTAATAGGACTGCTAACTGTCTGTATGTCTTCATCCTTTACAATACGGGACTCGTATAGAGCAGCCCCTAAAAACAAAATGGCATATTGTGTAACAGTTTATGATAATCTTGTAATGGTCACAAAATATAGTACCGGTCTCCCTTCAATTAAAGACCCTTCGAATTAAAGACCACCTTTCTGTGGTCCCATATAAACAAAGGAAGAGGTTATTCGCACGGTACCGTGCGAATTAGGAATAAGAACTTATTCGCACGGTATGACAGCCGTTACGTCATGAAACCTTAAATGTTGATTGGCTAGGTCTACCGTGCGAATAAGACTCATAAGAGCTAATTCGCACGGTACCGTGCGAATTGTCGAAAAAAAATTTATTCGCACAGTAGAATGTTGTAGATAGAAATACTGTATGATAATTTATTTCACGGCATACCGTATGAGTTGGGCACAGCACAGACAGTCGATTCGATAACCCTAACTGAAGTACAATAGGTTTTAGCTTAGTTAGCATTTTGTCTGCAGACTTTTTACTTATGCTATCCTTGAGAAATTGCCATGAAAAAAGCCTTTGTGGAGTATGTACTGGTGGTATTATAGTCCCCTATCATAGGGAAGTGATATTGATTTTTGTTCCATTCAAAAATATTAAATGGGGAAACAAAAGAAAATTAATTACTTAGCACCAACCATGATGGGAATTGGAACAGAGGAGGATGAGAGCAGGTGTTACATCTCCCTGATGAGAGGATGCCAAACTAATGCAAAATTACTCGATTTTATGTGCAGTTTTAATAGGGTTTTAATTTTGTGGGCTGCAGTCGTGCTGCACTTAGCACCTGTAGACTCACACATCTCTAAAAGTCTCTCCTAATCCCTCTCTACCATAATAAATCCTGGATCCGCCACCGAATATATGTACTATATACTGTACTGGAAAATAAGATTTATATTGATGTACATTCTTCACTGCCTTTTGGACCTTTTCCAATGTGTGGGAGTGTTTTCGAAATGCTACTGCTGGATACATTGATTGTAGGCCTAATTATATACACAAACCACATAGCGACCGTGGGAGCTGTGATAATTGTCGAAAAATTGTTGTATATACAGTCAGTACTCTACAACAAGGTTATTTTTGTCCTGAAATTTCTTTAATGAAATCAAAAAATGAATTGTACATAGTTACTAAATGCCTGACCGACCTTCATTGACATCAGGCTTTCATGGCTGCTTATGTGATTGTGAACACTGCCAGAACTGAACTGAACTTTATTGAACATACGCTTTTGGATCAGCGGCACACATCAAAATGATGGTGCGTTCACACAGGAAACATACACAATCAAAACAAAAAAAATTTTAAGAAATTCAAAAGGACTTAAACTAAAAAAAAACAAATGCAGAAAATAACAGAATTTAACAGGTATAAGGAAATACAACCATAAATTCAATAAAACTTTCTCATTATAGTTATCAAAATGATAAAGTTATTAAAGATATTAAAAATATTATTATTATGATTATTATTATTATTACTATACAGTTATTTTTAGTTTTTATAATTATTTTATCATCATTAAGATTATGTAAAAAAGCCAAACAAAGAAGAAAGCTTTTATTGGCGCAGTTAGACGTCATGAAACGTCAAATGCTGATTGGCTAGGTCTACCGTGCGAATAACCACTTCCATTAACAAATGTCTTCTTCCAAAGCTGCTAAAGAGGATGGAAACACCGGTCCTAATAGTGGTCTCTAATTGGAGGGAGACCTGCAGTACTCAACTCAGTGCAATTCAAACCATGCAAAAAAGACTAGTTTTAATTTGTTACAAATGATTATCAACTAGATTTGTTTTAATGTGTATTCATTGTTGTTTTAATAGACCAATTAGGCAACGTTTGTTTACAGCCAGTCATGTGACGTACGTTGGGTATAACCACCATGGAAAATGTTGTAGTGCAATCAGTGTAAAAGTATCTAGAAGTATGGTTGCAAAAACAACCGTCCACTGTTAACATGAGAAGTAAATGGCAAAGAAAGGCAATATATTTGTTCAAAATATTGTTTATTTACTTATTTCATTTCATTTATTTATTTATTCAGACAAGTGTCTTGGGGCCCCAAAAGCAACAAAATCACCATGACAAAAGTCTGGAGCCCCAGAAAACAAAACTTAACTACATTATTAGCGAGTATAGAGTATTGAGAATATTTCTTTAATGCTCCAAAGGATACTAGTCCCAAGGTATTGAGATTTTTAAAATAAATGTTAGGCCTAGGCCCCTGAATATCCGCAGCTTGTTTAGGTATGCACAAGAGTCTTCGACCCGGCGAACTAGCATTCTCTTTGCATTGTATATTTTGAAAATTTTGTTATCCTTTAGTAAAATTTAGCCAGCCTAGAAATCATAGCGTAGTTCGATTTTAAGTTTCTATTAAGCTAATGGGAAGTGCCTAGGCTGGGAAAGTGAAATGCAGATGCATCCCCCTCCCCTCCCCTTCTCCCATGGCAGCAAATTATATCCATGAAATAGTAAAAATGACAATAGTTTCCTTTTGAAATAGGGATTTAGTTTCACATGGACAATTTACAAATCTACCCATCCACACCTCCTGGCACCATTATGAATCCAGCCTATACCCCTGATTTGTAAATATTCATGTTCTGACATACCTACCTTTTTTGTCAGCCATGTTTGTTTTCTTTCTTCTTTTGTCACAGAGATACGTATCAATATTGTAGGAAGTTTCTATATTATGATGCTATAAATAATTAGCCTTTAGGTGGAAGCTGTCCATACACTTGCAAACCCTTCAAAGATCAAATTAAAGTCTGTTGAGGATATCAGTCAACCTACATCAAATCTAGCATAAATTTTGTAAACAAGGTGAACAATATAAACATTGTACCTTACCTACTGATAAAGTGTCCATATAATCTGATATCTACAATTGAAGCATCAAGCATACTGAGTTGTTTAAACAAACAATACAAATATATAATCATTGACATGTTAATTACATTCAACGTCACAGGCTTTCATATAATATGTACTTCCTTATTTCCTTGTTTGAAAATGGTGCAAAAATATTTGTATGTGGTAAATAGAAGTAGAATTGATATTGAATAGACACACATTTATCTACATATGTACGTACATCCTGATGCTGTGAATTGTGTTTCCACGTCGGCTGGCTCCCAGAGTGTGGAAGGAAGGCACACTAAACATCCTGATGGCTCGCATCTTTTTTTATTTTAAAACATTTATATATATAAATCAAATAAATAATAATATAGTGCTCAGATATATAGGAACATGATGTTATAAATCGTATCAAACATAGTTCATCAACAAAAGTTCCTTGAATAAAAGAGGTCTCTGGTGAGATTCGAACTCGCAATCTTTTGCTATCTTGGCGAGTGTCATACTGTTTAGACCACAGAGGCCTGTATGATATCATTACAGGTCCAAGGCCACTAGTCTCTCTCCCTTCATACAACTTGAGAGCTCACACATACTGTGGTGGAGCGAATTTTTAAGCCAATAGCTTATACTTATAGGTAGCAACTGTTAAACCATATATATATATATGTATGTATGTATATGTATATATATATATATATATAAGACAAAAAATGAGAGGTTCAACAGTAGCTTTGATTAGACATATTTATTACTATTTAGTTTCGTGCTAC